CCCCCCCCCCCCCCCTTTATCTTGTCAAGAGACTGTATTTTCATTGTGTTCATATGGTAATTTAAATCATGCCAGGGCTCAGAGCATACAGTGTAATTGTAAGTCGGCGAGGGTTTGAATGCCATCACTGCTGTGCAAATAACATCATCAGCTCATCAGCTGTGTCAGTAACATTGCAATTATATAAGCAACTATTATTTCCACCCCTGATATGCCATATTAGAACTTATTTTGGGGGCTGGAGCTGACAGGTATTCTATAAATATGAAAAGCACACAACGGCAGCCGAGCAGTGGTTTGAGATGGGAACATCATTCCACCAGGGCTTTCTGGTGGCATCGCTGCCCGTGCAGGTACCCCTGGATGGTCCTAAAGGAGCTGCTGTAAAAATTGTTGCTTTCCTGGAGCTCCCTTGGCCCTCACCCCACACCTTACCCATCACCCAGGACCCGTTTCCCTTCCTCTTACCACACTTTGTGCCCACCCAAACGTAAGCACTAGCCCCAAAATAGCAAGAATTAATTTTAACCGCAGAAGAAAGTTAAGTAGGCATTTTAATCCCCAAAATAGCAAGAATTAATTTTAACCGCGGAAGAAAGTTAAGTAGGCATTTTAATTTGGTCCGTTGCAGAAGAGTCTTGGGGGTTTGGTGGTTGTTTTTCATATGTCTAAGCCCCTGGACTGGAGCTTGGCACTAAGTGATTAGTTTTTCCTCAGACTTCCTGTGTGCTTTTGGCCAGATCAATGATTTCCTAAGCTTTTATTTCTGCTTCTTAAAAATGAGGCAAGCATAATGATTCCTTTCTCTAATCCCCTGCGTGTTTATATGGGGAGCACGTCAGGGCAGAGCCAGCCTGCGAGGCTGTCTTCAGAGAGAGAGCCTCCACCTCCCCATCCTCCAGTTGTGATGGATCCTCTTGGCAACAGAGGAGCAAAAGCCCACCAGCAAGTGCCACCCCATCAAGGTTCACCAGGGTGGTAGAAAACTCTTCCACGGCATCACGCGTGGCGCTACACAAAGCCAGCCCCTTGAAAATGTCACCCCTAGAAGCTTTGTGGGGAGAAGGAGGTAGAGCTCCTCTCCCAAAACACCTTCCTTGCACCCTCAGCCCCCCAGGGAGGCAGATGTAATTGTCCATAAACATCTCTTCTTGCCTCGTTTGCTCTCTCTCACACACGCACGCCCCTCACCAACACAAACCGTGGCCAGAACTCGTGGCACAGCTTCAAGTTGAGGGCTGAGGAGCCCATCACTAACAGCTCAATATATGAATAAATACAATAGGAAGCCACGCTCAGATTAATTCTCAGTCAGCTGTTCTGTGTTGTGCCTAAAGAAGCAACGCTCCACTGAATGCTTGTCAGGATGATAGATTAGGACTTTTTTTTTTTCTTAAAAAAAAAAAAAGATTTCACCTTAAAATGCAATTGGAAGATTGATTCTTTAGATCCACACATTATATAGGGTCTAGGTCTTGAGTATAACTCAGTGTGAGAGGAGATGATTCTCATCTTCACCTTACAGAAACGCTGCATATCGCAAAAGCTGACAAAGGGTATGAATAAAGGTAAGGTATGGGGAGAGAAAGCCATAAAATTACCGAAGCCTGGTATTTACACAATACCTGCACACAGTACTATTCATCTATATTTTCGGTTGTTTTGAAATCACCTCTGCAAGGAAGATGTGTCTACCTGAATGTACTCTTTATTAGAGTAATTACATTTTTATTTTGGGGGGACACAGAGGTCATCTATTCTTTTCCTGTATTCTCTAGTGTATTATATTCATGGAAAAACATATTTATTCAGAACTTCATTTTGATTTAATAGAAAAATGGTTCTTGCCACAGCAATGTGGAATACTCATTTTTCTCCATGTGTTGATTTTTGGCATATAAATGCCAGAAGCCTCTGTTCTCTTTCCTTATCAAGAAAAACTTGCCTGAGATTAATTTCCTCATCATTCCTTCCTTTTAAAGTGGCTGTTTTTCAATGCCATTTAAAGACAGAGTTGTGATAAATTCCTGTTTTCAATGTACAAATTTCAATGAAAGAGTCTATTCCATAGCAGTAAAGTAATTGAATCCAAATGGAAAGGGGCAAAAAAAAAAAAAAGTTATGAAATCAGGTACCGCTACTCCAGCCAATTGTATGAGAGGTGCCTTCATGTATTTTTCTTTATAATGACAATTAGTTTTTGAAATAAACTAATTACAAAAGTTTTAAAAGTTCTTATAGAGGGGACGGGAAATGCTTCTGACACCACTTCTTTATCATTGCAGGTTGGACTAATTGAAGATTACTTATACCAAGTAGAAGACAATTACTTAAGGAACAAAAGGCTGAGAACAGCTAGGACGGAAAAAATGAAAATGAAGAGGATTCAAAGTACACAGCAACAGTAGAGCCCAGGAAATGCAAAACTGTCCCTTACCAGCCCTACAGGCATGGCCACACAGCCAACAAGAAAATTAACACCATAGATATTTGATACATAGTTCAACAAAAGCCACCTTTCCACTTAATGAGCCCTCCCCTCGCTATGGGGTATCTTTAGTGAGACACTCCTGCAATTCATTAGTCTTAACTGGTTGGAATAAATGTCTGTGAAAAGCTTGTTTTAATTTGTCTTGTTTATTTAAATTGTAACACCCAGCCAAAAAGAGGCCTGTATTTTCTGCTCGAAAAATATTATGCATCCAAACTCTATAAAATCCTGATATGTTGATTAATGCCCAAGAAGGACTGAAAACAGAGATACCTCCATCCTTGGCTGAGAAGAATTCAGCCTCACATTGCCTTTTTCCCTGGTTAATGCTTTTCAATATGGATATTGGTACAATCCATTGGTGAAATGTACCATCCTGCATCTTCCAGCTGCGACAACGTCAACAAACACTATGAAAACACTTGGAGCAACCTGGTCTGGTGGGAGGTGTCCCTGCCCAGGGCAGGGGGTTGGAACTTGATGATCTTTAAGGTCCCTTCCAACTCTAACCATTCTATGATTCTATGAAAAAGAGAAAGAAAATTAAAAAAAAGGAGCCCAGCTTTGCCACATGCTTAAGAATGTGAAGTCCTTCAATCTCACCTGTGCCCCAAGGATGATTTTTTCTCCCCCATTAGATGGGGAGAGAAATTGTGGGGGTTTTTAAATGCACAAAGGCTCCAGGGAAGAGAATAACTGCACCTGCCTTCGAGAGCCCATCCCTTGGTTGAGGCAGCAGCCTGTCACGTTCACACATCTTACACTGCTTTGGTCTTCAAGGGAGCACAGGTTCCCAAATCCCCTGAGACCCATCATCACTGAGCAAAGCAACCCACCTCCTTCTCTGCAGAAATCACCTTTATCAGAGGGTTTTTGACAGGCATCCCCAGCCGATGCACGCAGCCGCTTCTAAGGCTGGCGTTTCCTCTTTGTTCCCCGTGTTTGCTTTGCAAGAAAATAACCTCATCTGATGAAAACAGGACTCGGTTCATCACATTTTCCCATTCAGGGGTGACTTTAAAAACAAAAACATGGCAAGAAAGGAAAAATCCACACACACCCCCGCCCTAAGATTTAATTAAAAATCCAGGACCTCAAAGGCACTTAGCCACTTAATTCCCATTATCTATTTATCACAGACAGAAGCCTAAATCCTACAGATTTTTAGCTGCTAGAGACCATCCTCCTAGGCTCTCATAAAAGATTTTTGAAAACTAAGAAAGAACCGGCAAAAGCTTTGATGGTCCTTTGTTCACTGCTAACAGAATAAGTATAAAGAAATCTTTTTGAGAAAATCTGAGCTAGCGTGAGCTCCTTAAACAGAGGAGGGACAGAGGAAGGAAGAGTTATTGCCCTTTGGAGACGGCATTATTTTGCTATGGGGTTGGTTTTGTCAGATGAAGTTTTATGACACATAGTGGCAATCATCCATCTTTGATGAGCAGACAGACACTAAATCAGAAAGACTGCTCCCCACGGATCAGCAAGTCACAGTCAACACGCAGTTTGGTAAATCACGAGGCTCTTAAGCAAATACCCCTAATTTGATGCCAGCTGGCTTACAATTCTGCAATATTAATGCAAAAATCAGGTGTTTTTACCTGGAGTGATGAAAAAGAATAAAGTGCGCTGGAAACAGGTGATCTTTGGGAACAAAAAAAAGGCAACATTGTGAGTGAAAAACAGTTGTGTGTGCAACACGGAGGAGTCGATCCGAGGAAGATATACCAGCCTCATCGTGGAGCTTCGTGAGAGACCCAGATCCCAGACAAGGGGTGACATTTCACTTTCCAGACGCCAGGTAGGGAGAAAAAACTGTCTTAGGCTGCGGATCAATGCATCACAGAGAGAGAGGGAGAGGCCACAGCCCAAATCAATGCGTTAGGTGTCGGAAACATCTAGGCCAACACCTGTCGACAGAGCCCTTTAGCCTCCAGAAAGCCTGACTGAAGCAGTTGTCAGGAGATGAAGTCAGCTACGAAACAACACAAAGCGAATGTGAAAGGAGCCTCTTGTCACGGAGAAGGGCATTGCTGCTTTCCAAAAATAACCATCTCTAATGCACAGATTTCCCAGGCTCAAATCTGCATGGTATTTTAGTCAGGACTTGTTGAGAGTCAGCTTTACCCTGTGAATATACTACATTTTGGCTGGACAACGGGGAAGAAGGGGGCAGGGGGTGTTTCTGGTGCTTGCTGCAGGCGCTATAGTTCCTAAATCGTGACTTTCACTAGGATCACCTACAAAAATTAAAACACATAATAATTAAGTTGCCTTTTGAAGAAATTGCAGACTATGTTATAATGATTCTCTGGCCTCTCTGCTGGCCATTTCAGAGATTGGTTTGGGTTGGAAGGGACCTTAAAGATCATTGAGTTCCAACTCCCCATTGCCCTGGGCAGGGACACCTCCCACCAGACCAGGTTGCTCCAAGCCCCATCCAGCCTGGCCTTGAACCCCTCCAGGGATGGGGCAGCCACAGCTTCTCTGGGCAACCTGGGCCAGGGTCTCACCACCCTCACAGTCAAGAATTTCTTCCTAATATCTCATCCAAATCTCCCCCCTTTAAATTTTAAACCATTACCCCTCATCCTATTGCTCCACTCCCTGATGAAGAGTCCCTCCACATATACCATGGCTCCTCTCATTCAGGAAATATTATTACCAGTTGAACTTCATTCCTCATCCTCCATTTTGCTAAGGGCACATTAAAAACAGCCCAGCCCATGGTTGCTCTAGCTATTTTAGTCCCATACACAAGGACACATCCGAGACCACTCCCCAAGAGTTCCACTTTCAGGTCACTTCGCTTTCAAAGACTAGTTTCCAAATGAATGATGGGGGTTTGTTTCCCTCCATCACAGAATTCTTTTGTCACAGAAATGATTTATCTGTTGACAGCTTGGTTCACTGGCCCCAGGCAACTGATGTCAGCTGAAACCACTCAATGAAAAGCAAAGAACACTATACCAATTTAAGGAAAAGGAAAAAAAAAAAACCAAAAACACACAAACAAGGTATAAATACCCTCTCCCCTAAGATTTGAAACTCTTCAGCTTGCAGTTTGCAATCTTTGCTTCCTTGTAAACACCAGAACCTCTGTACTAAGCCCTGGAAGGCCTGAGCACATGCAGAGTCAGCTCCTTCAGGTGTTAGGTATATGTTTACTGTTGGGTTGTAACGCTAATTATCACACAGAGAAGGTAGAGCAGACAGCATTTGATCTTAAAAAAACATTTTTCACTTTCACTATTTGGGAAGCCTCTTCTGTCAAAGGGGTCTGGCAAAAACGCTTGAAAAATACAAGGCTGTGATTCAAAGTGACTGAGGATGGGTCTCCAGCTAAAGAATTAAACATGTCACCAGAGGAAGAAGATGAGCTGCACTGGTGTCATCCAGTGCTGGGGACCAGTCCACGAATGGCACCCCCTGCCAGGGATTAAATCAGCAGTTGGCTGTTGCTGATCTCTCTCTGTAGTCAAGGAGAGGGACAACACTCAGAAAATAACTTGGAGCACCTCAGTCATACTCCTGCCCCTGCAAGTGTCTCCTTCTACCTCTGTTTCACCTCAAAGGTGGAGGAGAAAAGAATGGTTACATCAAGTTTTCATTCAGATTTGACTGCACAGATTGCAACCTCCTGAGAACAAGGACTGCCTGCCAGTCCACTCTGGGTGGCCTCGTAGCAATTAGCGTATTAATACTTACAAACAAAACACCACTTTAAAAGAAGTCTCATAAGAAATCTATAAACTAATCACGGGTTTATTGACACAGAAGACCTAGGAGGGCTGGGAGGCACCACTCGGCACTTCCAAAACAAAGTCCATGGCTGAAGTTAGAAGAATCTACATACATACACGCTGTATTACACTCACAACCCTGCTGAGAAGTCGTATAAATGTAACCTGTTGCTTACTCAATGACTAGATGGGATCACCCATCTTTAATCTCCAAAAGCAGAGCAGCAGCAGGCCACAGTTTTACATTTTTCCGTTTGAACTACAATCATTGTCACAAGAGCCAATTTCACGTTGGGCTGTTTCTTGCTCTTGTTGCAATTCATCACGAGAAGACGTGAGATCTCAGATACCTCGGCAAGGCATAGTCCATGAATAATACAGCCCATTACTTTGACCTTTTCAGTTTGCTTTGTGGTGTGATTGGCCAACCATTCCTGTCCTCCCCTGTTAACCACCCCATTAACCTGGGAGGAGAAGGTGGAACGGACAGACAATTAGCCAGCAGAATACTAAAAAGGTTAACACAGGAGCACACAGCCCTGGCTTTCTTGAGCTTTAATGGGTATTAAGATTCTGCAATCTCTTTCCTCTTTCAAAGTCTGCAGGGAAAAAAATAAGAAATCGCACAAGATGAACTTTGTTCTCATTTCAGATTATAATCATGTAGTTCCTTTCAGATGTCACACTTGGATGATTCTAGTTTATGCGTGAATAAACCGAGAAGAATGTTTGTTTTTACCCCTCTCAATATGGAGAATATTCAATTAGAGCGGTGAACTTTCTCTTTGAAGCTGGTCATTCTCAAGGAAAGGAAAATTGGAGAAAGTAGAGGCGAAAAAGCTCCATACGGCACTCGTCTTGAAAAAGGTCACGCTTGCTACACTGACTACGCGAGCTGAGTCATCCCAGTCATTTCCTAGTCAAAGAGAGGAAACGGTGGAATTTTTCCATCCTGTGGGCTGTCAGCTGCAGAAAGCTTTATCTCAGGAGTCACCAGGGCAGGAGGATCTCACGTGTCTCAGGCACACGCAGAAAATGAGGCGCAGCAGGTCTTGGTGGAGTTTCAGAAGTGCCTGCTGAAAGCAGCTGCCCCGTTTCTCTGGAGTTTTATACAGCTTTGTAAATTCCTGCAACCTTTTTGAAAGATGGCACCCCCGTGAATGACACGGGTACATAGGTAAGGATCAGAAAATGCTTTCTGAAGTCTTGTAGTCAAAAGATCTTATCTCAAGACTTTACATGAGCTTCTTTTGCTCGTAAAGATTTTCTAAGCAAGACTCTGGTGGTTTGGTTGCGGTGACCCGGGACACTTTGTTTTTCAGACACTACCATAATACTCACTCTCTTCAAATGTGTTACTATTAATAGCAATGATA